CGCGGGGCCGGCGTCCACCCGGACCACGTGCGGTCGTCACTCGAGCCGGAGGTGGCCGCCGGGCTCCGCGGGTCTTGGGGGAACTAGAGGCCGCTCCAGAGGGAGCCGGCGCCGTGCGGGAGAGCTGTTTGCAGGACGCTGCACAGGGCGTTTCTGCGGGGACGGTCGCCGGGCTGGGCTGACCGCGGAAAGCGGGGCAGGGAAGCCGCGGTGCTGGGGTTCAGTGAGAAGCCCCGCCTTGGACGACTTCGGTGCGCCTGCTCTTCTCTGGCGGCGAAAGCAAAGGGCGCAGCGGGCTCCGTCCTGTCCCGTGGCTCGGGCGCCGCGGGCCCCGCGTGAGCTGAGCGGGGCTGGGGAGGGGCGACTCCCTCCGGAGACACGTACGGGAAAGAATGGCCCGGAATACGGCACCGCGCTACACGGCCGGAGAAGCCTGGCCTCCCCGGCGCGGGCGGGCCGGGCGCTGCTCTGCGAGGCTGAAGCTCCCCACGGCCTCCACCCCGGCCCGGAGCTGACCCCGGGGCGCGGCAGCACCCTCCTGTCCCCCCGCTGCTCCCCTCGGTGGTGGGTTTCGGTCAGTCGGCCTGTTCTGCTCCCCGCTCTGTCTCTGGGGAGTGCTCTCACCCCCGCACCTCTGGCCTGCACCCTAGTCCTGTGTGCACAAGTAAATACATCTTTTGCAAGAAGCAAAGCCCAAGAAACTCCTTAGCGACGCTCCTGCTGGCTCAAGAGCTTCACGCCCAAAGGGGGAGTGTTGGCGCTGAGAAATGCATCTCCTAAGACTAAAAGCCCAGCGGCCTGTTGCTGAAGAGCTTTGATAGAGCTTCCAGCTCGAATGGGGCTCAGGCGAGGGGCGGCACAGCAGAGCAGCCACGGCCAGCCCGAAACCGATGCGGAAACGTCCACAAACCGGCCGTGGTTCGGGGGCCGTGGCGCGGCCCGACGGCGTTGCACGACCTCCCTGGGAAGCCTCGGCAAGCCGCCTCACCCGCTCTCTAGACGTTCGGTGTTTGCCTGACTTGGTCTGCCGAGGACCTGAGAGCCCTCAGATGACCGCTGCGGGGCTGCACGGCCGGGGCGGGAGCGGCCGCGGCCCTGGCAGCGGCCCTGGCGTCACTCAGCAGGTGTTCCGGGCACCGTCTGCACGCCAGCGGTGTGTCTGCTGGAGAGACACAGGCGCTGAAGCCGAGGACGCCTCCTTCCGCGGGCCTCGCCTCGGGGCAGCGCAGGGCCACTTCACGGGGCAGTCAGCGAGGCGAGGCGACGGTGAAAATGAGAGAAGACGCAGAGGCCTCCCACAGGCCCCGCCCCGGGCACCCCAGCGCCGGCCTCGACCCCTCGGGGCGCCGCTCGGGCCGAGGGTGGCTGAACTGGCCGCCACACTCGGGGCCCGGCGGTCTCGCGGCCGGCCCAGGGGCCCTGGCTGTCTTTCAACTCGCACCTTGTCCACTCGCTGTCCACACTGGGCAGTCCCACTGGCCGCACCCCCAGCAGCCCACCGGGAGGCATGACGGAGTGGGGGCATCTCTTCATCTCCCCCGGGGCCCACGGCCCCCCCGGCCGCTTTTGGGGGGCAGTGTTGGTCGAGCGTGCTGTAACAGGCGCAAGCTGAAAGGAAGCAAATTTGTCTTCTTTCCTTAGAAACCTTCTTTTGAAATATTTTAATTTTCGAACAGCAATGTAGAAACGGACGACCGTAAAAAGCAAAGTCAAAATTGCCAGTCATGTAATAATAGCACTTGTATTGCTGTGGGGGGCCATCCCAGCACCCCCGGCCCTCCTGGCAGGCCGAGGAGGCCAGACCTTCGAGCCCGGCGGAGGCCAGTCCACACCCGGGCCCCGGGGACGGAGAGGGGACGTGCCCGGAAGACCTTGGGGCGGAGGCGGCCGGCGGCGGGGGGACCCACAGACCCGCCCCCGCCGAGCTGACTGGAAACGGGGTGCCGACCCACGGCCCGGCAGACAAGACCGTCCTCCTTCCTTCTCCCCCGAATAAAATGCTCTTGGCAGGTGGGGTCTGCCTCTGGGCCTCAGGGTCCTCCGAGAACAGAGAAAGGTGGGGCGCCGGGCCGACCCCATCGCCACCTGCTGCTGACTCAGGGGAATCCACCAAATTCTCCTACTTTTTCAGTTACCGTCAGGACAGTCTAGAAAGGCATCGATGTGGCGTGATTTTCAGAGCGCAGAGCGGCTTTCCAGTGCGGGTCGGTGTCTCCAGAGTGAGGGTGAGGTGGGGGCCAGGCGGGGCCCCCTGACCGCAGGCCCGAGGGCGAGCGGCAGGGGGCGGCGGGTGAGACCAGGTTCTGGCGCTCGGGCGGGCCCGGCCGCGTGGTCCCGCCCGGCCAGAGACGACCTGCCTCCCCTCGGGCTGTGGTGTCCTGCACGTGGCGGGCGACCCCACAGGAAGGGACTCGGGAAAGCGATGGGCAGGACCCCCACTGGTGCGGGGTGCTGAACGGTGAGGGGTCCCGAGGTGCAGCTCTGACTTTGGCCTCAGGTTCTGAGCCGTGGTGGGAGCTGCGCAGGGGCCAGGGAAGGGCTCTGGGGAAGGTCAGGACCCGTGGGGTTCCGCCCACTGACCCTTGACCAACCTCCCGGGCCGTGACCAGGGCCCAACTCGCTGCACCCTGGCTCCGTGCTCCCTGGGGAGGCCCCAGGGGCCCTCACAGGTGAGCCGCTGGACCAGGAGGGGACCGGCCACCGCTTCCCACGGGGCAGACCCCGACCGTGGCGGGCTCTGCCCTCAGGTCAACATCCTCACCCCAAACCTCGGCCCCACCTGCCCGCTGACCCACCACTTGGACAGAATCAAGCACTTGCGCTTGTACAAATCAGCACAGGTCAGTCCGAGTCTGACTCAGCCGGAGCCGGGCCCGGGGAGGCGGCTGGGCTCCAGGCCGCGGTCTCGCTGGGTGGCCAGGCGGCGACGTGGGAGAAGCAGCCGGAACCCACCAGCGGCCTGTGGCCGGGGCACCCAGGATGGGAGGCCCACAGTGGAGCTGGGGGCTGCTCGGGGGTGTCCTGGGCCCTGCCGGGCTGGGGGGGTGGCCAGGGGCTCTCTGGGGCCGGCAGGTGTGGCCAGACTCACGGAAGTGTCTCCGCACACGCCAGCACCGTGTTACCTGTGCTCACACACCTGGCACTGAGGGCGGGGGGCCGGGTGGGCACAGGAGAGGGGCCTGTACCCCCAAGCGCCATTTGATTATGCCGCTTGGCTTCCTGTTCGGGGTCCCTGCCGGGGGGTTGGGTCACCTGTCCAGGTGAACTGGAGACAGCCCTGAAGGGCAGCAACAGCGAAATGGGCACTGGCCAGTGTGCCCACAGCCCAGACGCCCGCCCCAAGGATCACAGTTTGGGGGGCCCCCCGGATGCCAGCTCACAGCGCCGCGGTGCTGGGAAGCAGGGGTGCGGCCGCCCCGCGGAGCGGCTCGCTGGCAGCTGGTCACCCGCTCTGAGCGGAGCGGCCTTTCTGCAGACTCGCAGGGAGCCCCAGGGAGGGGACCCCAGACTCCACAGCCGAGCCCCGGGAGCTCCTGCCTGCAGGGTCCGGGGCTCCCAAGGCAGCAGCTGCAGGGAGCCCCGTGTCTGCCGCTGCCCCCCGCCCGCCCGCCGGCTTCAGCGCTCAGCAGAGAGAGAACCTGCGGGAGTTGATGTTCATCTTGGTGACGCCGATGAGCCTGAGCGGCGTGGAGAGGCTGAAGGGCGCGGCCAGCGGGGACTCGCACAGCAGCTCGGCCAGGTCGTCCCGCTCCTGCAGCTCGCACGTGGCGTCAAGCAGCATGCGCTGGTGCCGGTCGCAGGCCTGCTCCACCTTCAGCTGGTGGATGTCGCCGCGCAGCCGCATGAGCTGCCGGGCCAGCTGCTGGTCCTGCAGCCGCATCTCCGCCTGCAAGGGGGCGGTGCTGAGGGCGGCCACGGCGGGCGCCCCGCGGGGCCCGCGGCGAGGACGCTGCCTGGACCAGCCCGCCCAGGGCTGAGGACGCCGTGGCCGGCGCGGGGGGCGGGGCGCGTGTGGGCCCCCGCCTCCGGCGCACAGAGCTGCGCCCTGGGAGTGGACCCGAGCCGGCGGGCACCAGACCAGACAGAGGGCGCGGGGGCGCGGGCGGGCGCCGCTGGGTGGCAGCGGCCCTGCCCACTGTTAGCTGTGAGCAACGTGCCGCGATTTCAAGGGCCGGTTATAAGGACGCGGGTGTTTCCCGGACGGCCAGGCTGGCTCCGGGAGCCCGGGGCGCCTCGCGGTGCTGCAGGCTGAGGACCCCCGAGGGCTTCTGCCGACCCCCCGCCCGGCTTGCCCAGGGACGGCGAAAGCCCGGCTCTCAGGACAGCGCCCACCCCAGTCTCCTCCAGTGCTGGGCCGGGCTTCAACACGGGGACCGAGTGGCTTGGTCTCCAACGGGGTCTGGGGGACCCCCTGTCCCCCCACTGACAGACACCCACACTCCGGCCCCACGTGCCAGGCGGACTAGGACCTGGGTCCGACCCCTGACCCCACGCCACCCACAGCCAAGCTCCGGCCCTCGTGGGCGGCTGCAGTGGGGTCGGCTAGGTGACCGGCACAAGGTCCAGATCATCTGGGGCCCCCTCGGCTGTTGGGGGGGTGTGACGGCCGCCCCCTGGGCGTCCTGGGTCTGGGCGAGGTGGGGCCGAGGCAGAGACGGCCCCGGGGCCTCACAGACGCCGGCCCCAGGAACATTTCCCGTGGACAGTGCTCCCCGCCGGCTCCTTCCCAGTCTGCCGCCAGCGGCGATGGTCCTGGCGATGCTGTGCTCAGCGGTGCCGCTCGCTGATGAGGACAGTTCCCGTGAAGTGCAGGGACACGCGAGCGCCACGTGGCTGCCCGCTGTGGGCTCCCCTCCCACACCTGCCGTTTTCCCTTTCCTTGTCTGTCTGCTCCTCGCTCTCGTTTGGGGGACAAGGACGATCAAGACAGAAAGTCCGCCCTGGGGGTCAGCCAAGTGTTTAATGCAAAACACTTGGGGCTCAAGTTTACACCCCCAGTTCACTAGTGTCCTGCGTGGGCCTTAGACAGAACCACCACAATCACCGCCGGTCAGAAACGCCGTGGGCCGGAGTCTCATCAGTCACGGACGGGGCTGGCCACGGCTCGGCCAGTGGCTGACGGTGTGGCGCTGGCCACGCCGGGGGCGGGGCTGGCAGCTGCCTGACCCTCCAGGGGGAGACACGGCCGGCTCCCCCGGGCCGTGGTGCCGGCGACCCGCCCACCACTGGACGAGAACGCCCGCGGGAGTGGCCAGTCTCGGGGAGCCTACGGGCAGAGCGCCCCCGAAGGGCTGTGACCGTCAGCCCCCGGGGCGGTCGGTGAGGCGGAGCGTGGCAGGTTTGGGCAGGGGTCTACCAGCTGCTGGGCTGCGGCCGGCACATGGCCCAAACGCCCCGTCAAAGGTCAGACAGCAACGGAGGTTGAAAACCCGCCAGAGCCAGCCCAGGGGAGTCGGACAGCAGGGCACCGTCGCGTGGCCCGGTGGGCGCCGGGCGCGCCCAGTCCGCTCGGAGGTGCCAGCTCTGCCCAGGGAGACCAGAAGCCGGCGCAGCT